AAAAGAAGCACACTTTGCCAGGTTTGTTTAAAAGAAATTCAGGTACATGATGTAACAAGAAAAGGATGGTCGATGATAAAAAGTAGACACTGCACACAAATACATTAGACACGTATGTCGTAGGATCTAGTCTGACACTAACCACTAATACAAAATGGTTTTGTTTGAACAATTGACATAAATGTCAACACAATACTGGTCATTTGATTCCTGAAAAAACCAAGATAAGGCAAACAAACCAGACATATAAGAAAGATCCCACCACGGGTATGGTTCAAAATGTCTGCACTAAACAAAATAGTAGGAAAACTCTAGACTGACGGTTAATAATACATTTTAAAATTTTTCTGAAATTCTCAACTGAAAGCGTACATACCAGACAAGCAGTGGCTTATAGTGCACATGTACTACATCAGTATAGTACTTATACAGAGCTGTTTTTCGACTCCTATCCAAAACAGCTGGGTACGTCTTTTAATTAAAGGTGATGTCCCCCACGTACATGAACCGGGGCTGCGTGTGCTCACTCTAGGATTCTGAACCTCAAGGGCAAGACATGCGCAGTTCAACAGACAGGTGAGCACTTTTCTAGACTCACGTGGAGACCCTTTGAAAATCATCGGCATGGGCGGCGTTCTCCTGTCCAAGTAGACAAATGGAGATACTTGATATAAAAAGCCTCCCCTCTCAGGAATCAAACTCGCATCTTCTGCATGCAACAGTTTCTAACCGCTAAACCATATATCAGAAGTATCTGGAACCCTCTTTTGGGCAATGTGTGAAGATGAAAACTTTACGCAAGGAGGAAAAAATATCATCACGCTTTTCACACATCCAATTTACTCCTTCCCTACCCAGTATATCGAATTCAAAACCATAAAGCCACTCAATCCAATGAAAACAGTGAAACATTTTACTGTCAGCAGAGGGCTCATGCTAATATGTCCTTTTGGCTTCAGTAAACAATATTCCATTATCATTGATTATCAAAAACAAACACCCAGAATCAACAACTGCCTGGACATAATAAATGCCAAGTAGAAATGCAGATCAATGCCTGAGCTTTACTTTTGGAAGGGCGGCTGTCAGTGAAAAGCAGCACAGCAAGAGATTCAGACAACCAAAAGTAAGCGAGATATGAACAATATAATTCTCAGTATATACAATACAGTCAAAGCTACTCTACAGGCCAGCTGACCAAGACAATCACCCAAACAAATGACCACTTCAAATTCCGCCTCCAACCACCCCTACCCACACCCCCTCTGTATTTTTACTATAATATAACAACACTGTCAAAGACAAACACTTTTCCCTTCGACAAAGGGTAACCTTCTTGGACAATACCAACCGTGTTTTAGTTGGAGTTTTATAGCAATTACAAAACAAATTAGCCACATATAATAAATGCCAAATTTCATGTGTACAAATATATCATACAAGTCCGAGTCACTATTAAAAAATGACCACTGTTGGAGTACCTCTTTTCCCCAATCCATGACCAAAAAAAAAATTGAGAATTTGGTTGAAATTAATTTAGAAACACCAAACATATACACATTGATGTGGAATCAGTCAAAGTCCAGAACTTTGAGAAGCAAATGATGATGAATCAGAGCAACGGGTTTGTTTTTATTGCATCGGTTATTCAGTATGCCCTTAGTAAAGATCAGTCATGAATAAATATCCGATAAGAAACTGAAGCTGTATTTACAAATAAATGAAACATAAAACAGGTTTCAGAAAACATTCCTGTGATGATTTCAACATACGCTTCCATCAATTAAATCGAGGGAGTTACAAAGAAAATACGTGTCATGCTTTACGTCATTAGCTCTTCATGTTCGGCGCGCCACTTCACCTTGCACATTAAACATACCCAAAATGTCAACATGCCACTTAATGTGGCTTTCAATGTTCACTTTATATTCAGGGGCTTTGTGCAAAAAAAAAAAAAACCGACACTATACAGGGAAATCTTACATTTGTGGAGGTAACTTAAGAATGGAAGTATACAAAAGTTTGTGGTGTTAGAAGCGCGTTTAGCTTTAGCAAGAGTTTTATGGCGCTTGCAACACAAATAGAGGACATACCTTTTGGTTAAGAATGAAGTGTAGTATCGGGATATCTGTTCCTGACTTTTCAGCCTTGTGCCGAGTTTAGAATGGGACATTTTTGCTACACGTGTCATGGTAGTCAGTTTCGTACCTTACTCTTTTTTAATCACGGGAAGTAAGCGCCCCGTATGCCATGGGCTTTTGGTTAATGTTACTCACTTCGGGGATCAACATAAAAAGTCAGACACCGCACCCGGGCTCATTAGATTGCTTGGTGTCGTGTGTGTTCGTCTCTCCAGTTTACAGTCGTGTGTGTATTTCGACTTCTTTTTAACATAGATGGATCTTTTTCCAACCAAAGGAAGGCAAATGAACAGGCTTTAATATGGTACCAATAACCTCACATGCCCAAAAATTGGTGAGGGCCTGATACCACGTCTTGACACTTATACGAACTAAGGGTGATGTTGCAGTGTGATGACCTCACAATTTTTGGTGTGGTAATTCACACATTCAATATAAACTGACAGCTTCCCTCAATGAACAAAAGACAAAGGGTGTTGACTTTGAATGGATATGCCATAACCAAAGAGAAAGGGGAAGTATTAAGCAAAACTTCCAGTCCAAAGACAGAGAATGAGTCTGGAGAGAACAATTATTCACACAGACCATTGAACAAGTATTTTTATTTTAACACACGGACGTCTTTTCCCCTCTTCCCCTCTGTGTACAAAAACAGGAGCAAACCCTAAAAAATATATATAACACACGGTATACAAATGGTGAAATAGTAGTTACATATATAGCTGCTTTTAAGCACAAGGGGGCTATCCCGAAAAAGGCTGTTTTGGGAAAATTGAAGGTAAAGTTTTTGCCCCTTGTTCAGTTCTTTTAAAAGACAAGGAGAGTTTTCTCTATAACCAAACAAATGTACACACCAATGAAACCAAACTTCTCCTGTAGGTAGGGCAATGCCCACTTTTGGTGTGGGTCAAGATTTCTGGAAACTCACGAAATCTGGGTTAGCCCGCTTGTCCTTAAAAGCGACCATAATATTATACTGGATTGCCCACCAGGTGCCTTATCTTGTTGGGATATATGCAGGGGTCAGATGGGTTCTAAATTTTTTTCTCAAAATGCGTCAGAAACTTTCATGTACTGTGACATCTTAAATTATAAAGTTTTGTCCCATGCAGTCTCTTTTTTCTTCATAATCATTTGAACAAATCGAGTGAAACGTGACGTCATGAACAAATCCCACCTAATTATATCACCGCAATTGACCAAATTTCTGTTTCTCTGAAAAAATCAGCAGAAAAATATATGAATCATAGAAAAATTTGTAAACTAGTAAAAACAAAAACAAAAACAAAACAAAACAACTGCACAAAGTATTGTCACCAGTATTTTTTAAATATCGTTGCTCTAGATGGTTCTTCCCAAAGTTTAACAACAGTCCAACTTCTATCCACAGTTAATGTTAAATCAATATATATATTATACATCTTTATATCCGCGTCAAGCTGTTCAAATGGCCTCAGCCAAGAAAGCGAAATTTCCAGAAAAGAGAGTAATACTGTTTTATTCTTTTAACAACTGTATCTATATTACGTATCTTTTAGTTTTAGTAAGAGTTTTACTGTACTTGCAAACACAATACAGTCATATATAAGTGCTGAAAATTAGGTGTTAGAGGAGAGAGAAGGACAATAGTTTTTTTATAAGAAAGAAAGAGCAAACCACACCAGAGCACCCGCCAATCACCTACTTATGTATCTTTTCTTGCTTTTCTGACATCTATAATTTGAAATTCCACTTAATATACCCCGAGTACAGGCTACAAATGGAGAAACCACAATAGAAAATGTGTCACAACAAGGTGGAATCAGGCGCTCGTCAGTTTTGGGACATATGGGGTTATAGGTATCATCTTAAATCCTGTCCATTTGCCTTGGTTTTGATGGCAAAAATATATATTTATCTTGCATGCAAGTCAAGATATTGGCGATTGAAGGAGGTGGGGGTAGCCTAGTTTCAGAGGTAAAATTAGCGAGAAAATGGGCGCCAGAGTTGAGCTATTTCCTCAGCCTGAGAGTCCGTGGAAACTGAAAATTTACATCTTTTATGCCTTTAATCAATGTTTTTCCGTAAAAAGCACACATAAATGTGTTCTTTCATGGGCGTGAAAGATGAGCTAAAAAAGAAAAATTTGACAAAAATTCCCAGACCTGCGGAAAAGTGCCACTTTCTTCACTTTCATTATTTTGACAAGCGCCCGATTTCACCACTCTGCCTCACAAATGTTTCACAATGTCAGGCTTGGTACATCTGAACAGCTGGCTGACGATAGATACAGAAGTCAATAGAAATACAAATGCATACATATACATATATAATATAAATATAGATACATGAATAAAATAATAAAGAGCTCAATCCACGTCATACTTATTATAATTACCAACTCTCCACTCTCAATCGGATGTACATTCAGAGTAGAACAATGATTGTATCACAGTAAACACATGCACTTACTTTCAAATGCACTACTAATACACGTCCTGATGAAACCCATGTCTAGACCACCGAACTTTGACAGTTGAAACCTGAAGATACACAGTCAGACATCCGGCCCTTTGCAAAAGCTTGGCTGTGTTTTGTGAGAATAACAACCTGAGTCCAGCAGATTACAATCTAAGAGAATTGCGTACGTCAAAATATAAAGCGCTCATTTTAAAAGAGTATGAAAAGTACAAAAACAGCCTCTAGTACCCAAATGTCAAAAACTGACGAGCCTGCGCGAGGTAACAATACCGTTACTGTGAATTTGTTCTTTTTGTAGTATGTTCATAGTTCATAATATAAAAAAAATCATTGTCTGTTTACTGGTAACTTACAGCGAAACAACTAAGCGCTGCCACCAGGTTTTTTTAAAAACAATTCCTACTTCAGCAAACACAGCGTTAAGAAACATGGGAAAAGTTACAAACTTAAGCACACATCCACACTAATCAAGTCAGATTAACACATTCATTCTCTTTTTTCTGACAAACTAAAACACATGCACTCACAACCTCTGACAGGTGTGCACTCATTAACTTCTACACACTAAATCACCTCTCTTTTAAAACATATGAAAAACAGACATCGACACATACATACATACATTCTCAGGCATCCACTTTACCTTTCAGCGCCCACGTACATTCACACAAACACACACTCTTATGCTCACCCTTTCACTCAAACGCTTCCCACACCACACAATTCTCAACATTTATTTTTTTGTAGAAACCAGTCATCGATGACTCACAGCCAGCCAACCGGCCGAACCTCTTCGGGCGGCGTTGTTGTTGTTGTCGACCCAGAACATCTCCGGGGATTGTTATAGATGTTATAGATCCAGATCATCTCCTGGCTTTGTTGTTATTATCGATCCAGGACATCTCCCGGCGTAGTTGTTGTTGTCACAGATCCAAAACATCTGCGGGTCGGGGCATCATCACAAGAGTTTGAGGCTGCCGGTGACGCGGTTCACGTCGTCCACCTTGCCGAACACGGCCAGCACGGTCTTGGAGCCCGGGGTGACCTGTGTGAGGCCGGCGTCCTGCACCAGGTAGTGGTCCACCTGTAGCCCCGCGGCCTGCACCGCCAACATCTCCAGCTGCGTCGTGCTGTCGCCGCGGACAACCACCTTGGTCTCTCTGAGGAGGAGGAAAAAAACCCAAGAGACAAGATTAACTTTTTATCTTCAAGAGGAGGGGGGGGTAAACCCACTACGTCGGAGCCCCTTTTGGTACAAAAACTAAAAAAGACAAAAACGTCATAAAAGGGGTCAGTAAATTAAAACAGAGTGAACCTATTTTGATAGTACTTCAGTTAATGAGTGAACACACACGAGTATCAACCAACCACCAGCAGGTTTCACGAGGCAAGTGGCTAGAACAAAAACCTGTTGTAGCAGTAAGCAAAGCCTTAAATTTTTTCTCTCTATATAATGATATAGTTCAAAATGACCAGCTGTCTAAGAGGATCACTTTTCACATCAACCACACATGGTCCTTTAGGAGAGGTTCAACTGTATAATGGGCTTCTTTTTTTTTTACACAAACTCATTTAACTAAAAATTAAAAATTTCTGTTACCACAAAAGGAATTCAAAATCCCTGGGGTGGTTTTTTCCTCTTTATTCTATGCATCTCTTAACGCAAAATCTACTTACCGACCACAAACAAACTCTCGGGTTCGCTGAAGTTTATGTTATTAGGGTTTTACTGCATATACTATCATGTGAGGCATCGTAGTAAAATCAGGCGCTCGTCAAAATAATGAAATCGAGGAAACCAAAATATTTATGCCAGTTTTGACATTTTTATCAAATTTTTGTTGACGAGCGCCTGATTCCATCAGGTTCCATCATGACATATAATTATGAAAGACATAAAACAAGTGACCAAAGTGACAGAAAGGACCTACAGATTAGACACGACACCCTAAATTCGTTCTAGTCCGCGCCACTCACCCGAGGTGTCCCCAGGCCATGATCATCTCGGCCTTAACTTCGTCCTCCATCATGCTCCGGAACAAGCTGAGCGCCGCGTGGGCCACCTGGGCGGCCACCTTGCCCACACCCATCTGGAGCTCCATGTTCACCACAAACACCATCTTGAACGTGTCGGTCGTCAGGAACTCGTCCTCATCGCTGCTGTCGCTGGTGCCCTGGAGGTCTGTCTGAGGAAGGCAACAGCAACAAAAAACAAAAGGGATGTAAAATGTGGGTTGAGTGAGTAGAGTAAGTGCCGTTCAGTTTTACTCAAAAGAGTTTTACTGCACTTGAAAAACAAATAGGTTCATTATATAAGTACAGAAGCTTACAGGTGTTACTACAGATTTAAAAATATAGAAAAGAAGTAAGAGAGACAAGGACGACAGATAATGTTAGAAAGGATAGAAGGAGAAAAAACACACCAGAGCATCTGTCAACTACCAACTAACAGTTTTAATTTTAGTAAGAGTTTTACGGCATTTGCAACACAATAAGGTCATATAAGAGCCGAAGATTAGAGGTGTTACAAGAGAGAGTAACAAACACAAAATAGAAGGAGGGGAGATAAGGACGATAGATGTTCGACTGGAAAGAAGGAGCAAAGTACACCAGACCATCCGCCAACCTCCCACGTTCAGTTTTAATCATCAGAGTTTTACTGCACTTGAAACACAAATAGGTTCATCATATAGGTACAGAAGCTTAGTCTGCTTAGAGGTGTTACAAGAGATTAAGATATATATAGAAAAGAAGTAGGTGAGGTAAGGACGATTAGATCATGTTAAAAAGGATAGAAGGAGAAAAAACACACTAGAGCACCTGCCAACTACCTATGTTGCTCCGCCACAGTATGAATGTGACATGGATAAATCAGCCAATTTACAATTCTACTGTGCATAAGAACATCACAACTGAAGAAAATATAAACACACATTCATTCATACCTCTAAAGGAGTGTCCAGGTTCTTATCATTGTTTTCCAAGAGCCAATCAGCAGCCTGGTCAGCAGTCTGATTACCTGTGTAAAACAAGGCCTGGAGAAAAGCAAAAAACAAAATAAAAATAGATCGATGTAACTTGGGGGTAAATTTTGATGTGAACGAACGAAACTGAAAAAGAGAAGGAAAGAATCCGACAGTCAAACCAGGCATTTTAAGAAGAATAAAAATGAGAATGGAAAAAAAAGTCTTATTTGTTCCGAGCTGAAGTCACAAAGGAACAAGCGTTGAATGCAACTGGACGGTGATAAGGTAACATCAAAATGGCAATTTCCCTTTTAAAAGTAACTAAATCAAGAATGTTCATTGGTTTTACGTCCACATTAAAATTTATCATAAATGACTTCTATATCAAAGTGGAGCCTTAAAACATTCAATAGAAAAAAATGTGGCCAATCTCTTACACTTAAATTTAAAACCTTTTCACACTCAAGGAAAATTATGCTAAAGGACTATCTGGGACTCAGATACAAATGACAAAGACAATGCAACTCTATTTAATATTTCAAAAACAAAAACGCATTACTAATATTTTATTCATAGGCAGAAAGAATAATGTGTCAAAACGCTGTGGAATCAGGCGCTCGTCAATTTTTGGTTGTAAGGAGCTCAATTGTTATTATCTCTAAGCTTGTATTGCTTTTGTTGAAAAAAATATCAATATATCTTGAATAGAAGTGGAGATATAACTTGTGAATGAAGGAGGTGGGGGGGCCACCTGGTTTCAGAGGTAAAATTAGCGAGAAAACAGCCACCAAAGTTTAGTGATTTCCATAGCATTAGAGTCTTTGTAAACTGAAAAATGCATATTTATTTGTGCCTTTCATCAATGTTTTTTCAGCAAAATCCACACATTAATATGTTTTTAAATGGACATTAATTTAGGTGTTGAGCTAAAAAAAAATACAAAATTCAAGATAAATTGCCGAACTAGTGAAAATATGCTGTGATATTTTTTTATTTCATTATTTTGACGAGCACCTGATTCAACCACGATGTCTGACACATTTCAGAGGTTAGTTAGAAGCACAATATAGTGATTGTGTTGTACTGACATGAAAGTATCAGTGGGGATTATAATATAGCTAAAAATAATTTTATAAGTCTTCAAATCACCTGAAAAAGTAAAAAATATAGAAAACAGTCCCTTACTCAACCTAAAGTTTTAGAGGTATAGTATAAAAAATTTGTGCTTGAAACTCTCCATTTGAGGTAATGATCAGTCACACTAATGACCAGACCACAATTCCTATAAGTTAAAACTTTTTACACTCAAAACTGTATGAGTAGCAGCCAATAATTCAAACTCTAAGTCAGACATTCCAACCTGGTGAATCTTGTATTGCTAATTCACTTACACGGATAGCAGCATTTCTAGAAAACCCAAGGCTCATAATCTGAGCAACTGCTTCCTCGTTGGGTTGGAAAAGAAGCTGTCCTGCCCCAGATCCAGGGTTGTCGGAACCTGCATTTCCAGACGACATCTTTGCTACTTAAACGGCAGTCGGAATAAAGAATGAATGAGCCAACTTCACTTGTTTCCTGTGGAACTTGTTTCCTAAGGAAAAGAAAATAGAGAACAGTTTAGTTAGTTCAAAATTTCTAGGCACAATTCAATAATGCAAAAAGGGACAGATCCAATCCAACCAAAAAAATATGTACGCTTGCAACAGTGCAAACTCCCTATATGTTTCCCCAATTCCCCTAAAGAAAATGGAACACCGAATCATGCCTGAAATCCACAGGCTGTAGGTGACTGACAAAGTTTCAACTGGAACTATTGGAACTCTAAAGTAAAGACGAAAAATATCATAAATCTTACACTACACCTACAGTAACAGAATTTTAAAAAATTAGTATTCATTACTACAGACACTATAAAATTTAGAGATATAATGCAATTGATGGATAAAATTTATCAATAGACCAAGCAAAATGGTTTCATCGGTTACTGCCGGAAATGGCTCCAAGTTTGAGAAAGACATCATCAATCAAGCTCTCAATTAAATTAGTTGTTGTCTTCAAACAAACACAAAAAGCTTAGACTAATTAGTATAGTAGGCCTTACTATTTTTTATCTCCGGCAAGCCGTTGCCAGTCGGAACCGCTGTGCCAGTGAGCTACTGACAGCGGCTCGGGTACATTCCATTGCGACAACTCCGACATCAAAATACTTTTAGGCAATTGCTGAAAACAAGTCTCTTTTTTATTGAGAGTTCATTCTTTGATGAATTATCAAAACAGGTCGACTTGATTTTATGACCCATTTAGTGACTGGGTCTGAAAAAAATACCCTCAGAATCAGAATGAATCAGGTTCAAAAGTCTCGTACCTTTGTTAATACGACGCGCTCACGGAGGCTTCCTTTTTGAAGTGTTGCTTCTTCTAAAATGACAGCTGACGCAACGCAACTATCAGCTGAAAATAGCCATATAATAACAAATATATATATAATATATAATCGTATCTCAGATCTGTGAGTATAATTCTTTTTTTTCGATAGAAAATAAACATTTGTGCAGGAAATATCTTGCGGAATACATCATTTCACGCAGTTTTTTGTAGCAGTAAAACACACGTACTCATGTCAATCTTAAGGTAACTTTCGCTGTGTGAAGTGTGCGTAGTAGGCTCTACCTAAGACGGTTTTAAAAAGGATTCGCAGTGATTTAACACATTACACCCTAAGGGCCTGGACGGGAAGTCCATTGTTAGATCCTAAGCAAGGGGAAAGAACCCACCTCCCATGAATACTAGCCTTTAAAAAACACATATTTTAAAAATACTTTTAAAATTCCAAAAATCCTGAAAAAATAAAAGTTAAAAAGAAAACTGAATGTAGTTTCAGAAAAATATAACTTTATGTATGCGTAAACTGTTGGAAATGTTCTAACTTTTGTTCAATAGGGGTGTCCGATCCATCACTCTCACTCTCAGCCTCGCGGTCAGGCCATAGATCTAAATTCTATATTTTCTCCGTCTTATCAATCGAAATCGCCACAAACTCGTCCTACAACGTTTTCATCAAAATCTGAGCCATCTGATTTGTCATGCTCGTTTTTGCTCAAATCCATCGTTATTTCCGTTTTCAAACTCAATTGTGTCGCTTTTCAACAAGTCGAGACACTTTCGAAGTGTCGGTAACGCGATCGCACTCCGATCAGCTCTAATACTAAAAACTACTGGCCCGAAAAATTTCGTTTCGGTATCAAACGAAAGAAAAAACTTTTTGCTATACTATGCAAATCAAAATCCCGGCCCCAGAGTCTCGTCAAGGTGAGACTTTAGTTTCTAAAGACGCTGGGTCGGCGCGGGCGGTTCCAGGCAAGTCAGGGTGGAGCGCGTAAGGGAATTCCCGGGCGAGTTAGGGTGTAATGTGTTAAGCTCATATATTCAAAATTCTTGATGTCAGATTTCCAGTGAAAAGTCAAAAGGAAACCGTTGTCAAGAAAAAGAAAAACCCGCTGTGAAAACTAACGATCGATTTGAATAAACTGACACTGACGCCGAAGGATAACAGCTCGCTCGGCTTGTATTCTCAGTTATCGTTGTTTATATTCCCGACTTTGCACTTCGTGACCCAATCGCCTAGTCAGTCTACAAGTCGTAATTTACAATAAAATTTAAAGAAACGGATGATGACAGTGTTAGCGCTGGAAAAGGTAAAACAACAACAATTCATAGTACTAAAGTGCGGCCCCAGAAAAAAGTTTTAATTTGATACGCGAACTCTACATTCAGGAGGGAGCCGTGAACAAAGCCTGCAAACTAGATTCTACATTTACTGCGCCATGAACGTAGTCATTGCCTTTAATTCTCCCAATCTCCGAAAACAGAAGAATTCACAATGGTGCCCCTGGGCCTGGGTGGAAAATCTGGCTCTGTGCTGCGGACTTAGACCTAGCTAGACCTAGATCTAGGCCTAGATTATCTAGATCACGAAAGAATAAATTAAATATTAGAGTTGAGGAGCAGACAGATGGGTTCGTTACTTGCAGATTCAGTCAGAGCGAGCAGGTAACAGACGGCTATGCAAGCGGACTGCGAGCCTCAACAGTTAGTTTTTGGGTCCGCTCCACAATTTTACTCTATCAGCGAGCGGACTGCGGACCTCAAGCCTCAAGTCAGTTTGTTTCTTAGGTCCGCTTCACAATTTTATTACTGAGGGGATGGGCGAACAGACGAACTCTAGATAGCAGACGAGATACTCTACACGAGGTTAAGCCCATTGTCTATTTGTTATGCCTTATTATAAGGCCAAGAGTTTTAAACCACTAGTGGTGCCACAGGGAGTGAGAGTGAGAGAGGCCGGTGACGTAGTAGTACTATGTGTGTAACCTTTCACCTCGTATGTGGGTCACACTGTCTCATGTCACTATCATGTCCCAATTACCACGAAGGCTTTTTTTGGGGGGGGGAATTAGAGAAAGGAAGAGGCTAGCCGTACTTAATGACGGCTAGACTGGCAGTCTAGCCGTACTTATTCTTAATATGATGGCTAGACTGACCATTTACAAAAAATAGGCCTACTGAATTGTAAATATACATTTTTAGTGTGCAGTTTGCATTTGAGAGACGAAACCAGGTGCCTTAATGACAGTGCAGGTATTTTAAACCTCCTGTTTTATAATGTTAATAGGGCCTAAGATTAGTAAGGCTAGACTTCTTGTCTAGCCATACTTAAGTACGGGTAGACAGCCAGGCTAGCCATACTTAAGGACGGCTAGACTGTCAGGCTAGCCGTACTTAATATTGATGGCTGAATTGTAAATGAAGGAATGTGGCTATTCTCATCCGGGGTGAGAATAGAAAAACGATCTACCTCTCACCCCGGGTGAGAATTGCCAGCGTAGGCTATTCTCACCCGGTGCGAAACAAGACCTGCTTTTCCTCATTTTGGAATACTGTCTATCGATGTGGATGATCCAATTGATAAAAGCCAAGAAAAAATTACGTTATAGCACAAAAGTAAGCTAATTTGATCGTCTTCAAAGATGCTATGGCTATTTCACTTTTCGAATCGAGCCGAACTACGCGGGTCGCCATTTTGTTTTGCCCGGAAGTTCTCGCAAGATCCACTCCTCCCCTATCTCTCTCTCTCTGTCTCTTTCTGAATACTGTCTATCGGTGTGGACGATCAAATTGACCAAAACAAAGTTAAAAAATGATGTTAAAACACAAAAGTAAATTAATTTGGTTGTCTACAAAGATGCTACAGCTATTTAACTTTTCGAATCGAGCCGAACTACGCGGGTCGCCATTTTGTTTTGACCGGAAGTTCTCGCGCTACTCCTCTCTCTCTATCTTTCTCTCTCTCCACTGCCCACAGACAAAATTGTACGCTTTTAGTAGGCTAGGCTACAGTTGTAATGGAACAATTGTTCACGGCACAAAATTCTACAATGTTTCTGTTATCGCAGTGTAGAATTCTGTGGTTTAGGGTGAACGCAAAATTTGTTGGCCTAGATCTAGGCTATAACGGTGAACGCGCACCGGGTGAGAATAGCCAAAAGACTCGCCTGCACTATTCTCATCCCGGGTGAGAATAGAGGTGGCCGTAAATGAAATTTTTAGTTTGCAATGAAAGTATTTGTATTTCAGACAAAACCAAAATATGCCTTACTGACTTGCATGTGTATTTGAACCTGAATAATTACTAGATATAAATCTAATGAGACCTGTGTGCTAAACAGGCTTGAGTCGATAGGGCCAAACCTAGATCTAGATCTAGATCTAGATTAGATCTAGATCTAGAGATCTAGATTCTAGATCTAAGTGTACGGCTAGCCACTTCTTTAGAGAAATTTTCGCCATGAACGCCTAGCTTAATGTGGGACAGGAGGGTGATTTTTTCTCGAGGGGGGGTGTGTAAGTAGTTAGTAGGCCTATGCAGCTATGGAAGTGTGGAAGGAGTCGCTCTCTGCGTCTCTGTCCGTCTGCTCGAATGCATGGGAGTTTCTCCGCCCGCTCGCTAAACACACTGTTGTCTCTGACTGATGTCTGTAGTGTAGCGAGTACTGAACTACTCCTCACAAGCGGACGGCTCGTTACCCGTCCGCTCGTATGCGGGTAGAATCTAGATTCTAGTGCCAGCAAGTAGATCTAGATCTAGATCTAGATATCAAGAATCTAGATCTAGTCTAGTTCGTTACTCGCGGACGCTGATTTAGCGAGCTCGACTCAACTCTCCTTGCCGCTTACTACGACTACTGCAACTCACGGATGAATCTCAGACGTCGTCTACAGTACAAGCGTCAAATCACATATTACAGCCTACTAAAGCACTTAATAAGAATAAAACCTACGTTTATACTTGTTCACTTCAGCAAAGAGGGATCAATACAAGTGGAAATGGAAAGACACAATTATTCAGACTCAAGACTCAAGAAGTGTGTGTCTATCAAACTATCAACTGGGCGCTACCATGTTTATAACGGTGGATTATGGGTAGGAACTTAGGAAAGTTTCTATTCCGGAGAGTACAACAATTTTCTTCGTTCAAATTTCCGTTGGAAGTATTTTTAGGAAGCATTTTATAATAATCTGTCCTTTTCAATAAAAAAAATTACCATTCCAAGAAAATGTAATATTATTACAATATCTCATGAAATTTGTTTTATGTTCTCTTCTTATATTGTTTCCGGTATCAGGTATCAGGGGAGTAGCGGGACAGTAATGATCTTTACCGTCGCATGCAGAGGAGGTGTGTTCAATTGTTGTCTAGGAAATGGTTTATAGGTCCTATTTATACACAGAACTATATAATGTCATTGCATATCGAGTATTTTTGTCTACTAAGACA